TGAATTTTGGATGTCTGTATGGATGAATATTCCAACCCTTTTCAGGCCCTGTTCCTCCTCATCGGATGAACTGCCTTCTGCAGGTACCTGTCTTGCTCCATTAATCAAGACAACAACCTCAACAACAAGCTTATAACTTGATGTCTGTTAGACAACAAAATAGGTGAATTAAATCACAGCGTTTACATTTAACAACTACACTTTTTTTTTTTAATCCCACTGACCATGTCTACACTAGTAAATAACGTGCTGAATTGTTATCAAAACCCTACACAGCAAAAGCAAACAGCAAAAATTCAATTACGGTGGCCAGCAGAATACAAGTCTCACTCCCAGGGGATGTTTAGGACTAATTTCAGCCCGAGATTGACACCACTTCAGAATCTCTGTGAACTACCAGCGTCAAACACCCATTAAAGTGACACTGCTTCACTTCGCATCTTGTTGTGAAACTAAATAATAGCATTGCGCTACACTTGGTAAGAAATGTTCTAGTCAAGAAAAGAGAGGGACACATATGACACCACCTTCACTACCATGTATTATTTACATTAGCTAACACTCTCTTGGTTGGTCTAAAGTGGTTTTCTTGTTTTTGCTTTTTTGACAGACAAGAATTCAAATGAGTTCACATACTTTTCATGATGTAGAATTTGAACTTCACTTAAAACACAAATTCACGTTAGAAAAAAGTAAATTTTAGTTCTTATATGGTGCTTATGGCCATCTAGTGGAAGAGAGTTAAAACCTAACAAATTTATACTGTTCAATTCAAAAACAAAACTACATTATATGTCAACACTACACTGCAACAGTAACTGATGAGGCCTTTTCAATAAAATACTTGGGCACATTTAGCCTCTTTCAAGCAGCAACTGGCAGCATTCATGAAACTTCTTAAGACTAGCCAACCCAAATTTGACTTATGGCTGGGGACTACTCCAAGGACCAGTATCATAAGGTCAGGAAACCCCTGAGCAACAACTTGCCCCACGTGTCCCCCCCACACTCTTCCACTACTAGCACTGGGACATCTCAAGAAAGGTTTTGCAGAGGGGTGCAGGTTTTGCATTCACTTTTCTGCTTCAGAAGTTCTTCAGTCGCCCCCTTGAGATCCTTTTGTGACACTACAATAGCACAGTGATACCAAAAGCAAAGATCTATACATAGTACAATAAAATACACTTAAAATTGAATTATGATTTCCACTTCAAAACAGCACTCTAAGTTAAGCACCTCTGCTACTCCCTGTAGAGCTACAAATCACCTCTGCCGAAGCGTGTAAGAGAGTACTCTTCAATAACTGTCATTTCCATCAAGCTTGGGTAGCATGACAGCTGGGTAATGCTTTATAAGAGCCTTCTTTCAGACACAGTAAGAACACTGATGGCTCTGAAACAAAGTCTTGGGACTATTATAGTTACTCGACAGCAACCTGAGTACATTTTCCAATTTCTAAGAGCTTCTACCCAACTATGTGACCAGAGAGTTTTGCCTACACCAGGTTAACAGGGAAAAGCTCCCCTGTTGGGTTTGCAGTAACCCCTTCCTGAACTTTGAGACTTCGTCATTTCAACGCATTCTGCTCAGTACCATCATCTAGAGGCCACAGTGAACTGTTAATTAAAACTTGCATCAAATTATTACTATTTTACTTCTGCTCGTAGGAAGTCAGGCTGCTTTTTATAGCCATCTTAGATTTAAGTTTCTGAACATCCTCTAACACCAGAAAGGTGCTGTATAACAGCACTCAACCAGAGTTTAGGGAGAACTGAGGAAATGTATGTGAATTGGGCTTTGTGGGGAGGGAGAGGAGCTAAAAAACAAGCAGCTCAGGAAGCCTGGGGTCCCATACCACAGCCTAGAGACAGCACCCTCTGCCATCCAAATGAAGAACACTTCATTTGGCTTAAAATTTTGCAGCACCTTTCAGATTGGTGTCCTGCCAAAAGGATACTGGGCCAGGCCTTAATTCCCCTTCTACCACTGCAGCAGTGAACACCGGTTAGTCAAAATCAGCAGGCACTGCAGAACATCTAACATGAAGATCTCGCAGCTGCCAGCGTACCCCCACCAGCATACACTCCTAGAGGGGACGTACTTACGCCAGAACAGCAGGAACTGCAGCAGTGCAACTTACTGGAAGGTAAACTGCCTCAATATGCACCCTACCCATGGTAGGGATTTGCAGTCACGTCTAAAAAATTCAGGATAGGTAAAGTTGCAGAAAAATGGTAATTAAACAGATCCTCCCTACTGAAGTGACAAGCAGCAGAATTGTACTTTGAAGACGGTTTAAGAGTCATAATCTCTCATTCCTGTTTGTGTCCACAAGAAGGGGCTTTTTCCCCAATGTCCATTTCTTTCCACTATTTCAAAAATCAACCTGCTTCCCAGACCTGGGAAGAACTGATCTTCAGAAATGCTATCACCCTGCTGATTTCAACATTGCACAGGATCTCTACAAATTTAGAGCAGTAATTTCTAATTTGATTTTATATGTCTATCCATATAAAGCTCAAAAACATTTTTAGGGACAGGGTATAAATATTATAAACTGTTTTGATCATTATTAGAACTGAAATAACAGTATCAACTCGTTTTAGTATTTTTACATCCTGATATAACAACGCACTACTCAGAGCAATAACTTCTCAAAAACAATTTTCACTTCAATTAGAATTTTGTAACCTTTCAAGGAACTGAAAGGTCTGCAACAAGCATAAGCTTATTTCCATATGCTAATATACCTTAACAAGTGCAGTATGTTTTTACCATATATAATGGCATTTAACAGTGTAGTTATAATGACACATATGGGACAAACTCAGTAAATAGCTCTTGTATCGCTTCCTTATGGAAGCATACCCCTCCAAACATATTTAAACAATGATTCCACAATTTAACTCAAATCTTAACATAAATATCACTGGCATATAGTATGAATGGGTATAGTATAGACAGTATGTTACGATAATGAAAATAATACTACTGAGTGTATTAACTATCAGTTAATACTATCAGTTAAACTATCAGTTAAAACTATCAGTTTTAATTCCAGGGCTTTCAGCTTTCCTCTACAATTGTGCTGTGTTCATAATCAAATTTATTCTAGTTTGTTTAAACAAAAACATCACCTTCATGTTGGACTAGTCATCAAAAAAAAAAATCCTGAGCTGAGAAAGCAGATCAGAAAAGTAAACATGTTGATGGATAGCTTAGTGATTAAGGTATTTAAGCCTGCATTTATGTAGTTTTGTCCTCCAATTAGGCTCATAAATTAATTTAATTTAGTACCAATCATCAGTGTAACTCCATTAAATAATGGAGAAAAGTCTTGTCCTCAAAAAGGAAAGCACGATTTGACCATTATCTACAACAAAATTACTCTTCTAAAGAGTATTATTATGCAACAAAGGTGAACCGCTGCACTGACATCGACCAAGATTTGTCATTGCCGGCTGGCACCGAAAGTGAGCTACAAAGCTTTCACAGATATGTTTGGCACCAGACACCAAAAAGCTTACATTACAGCAGATATAATAATCAACAGGGAGAATCTAATGGCATTTTATGTAGTAGCCTTTGAACCATACTACAGCCTTAGAATGTGTCGGACCTAAATTTCTTAATTGAAACTACACAATATGCTCAAAAAAAAAATCATTAGTGTCTTTAATTAGAGCAACTGCTTTATAATGAGGAGCCTTGACAGTTTCTGTCTTGCATAAACCCCTAAAAACTAGAAAACAAACTGGTTTCAGAAAAAGCGCAGCTGAATTACTAGAGTAACTGACAAGGTGCACTGGCAGGAGTTGAAGAAGAAGTCGTGACTTTTTAAGCACAGTAACAGATCAGAAGAGAAGTGGGACAGGAACAAGCGTGAACACCTAGTGCATTCTGATCATTACCTCCCGCCACGTATGTTCTTAACCTTATTTACGCAGCAGACAATTTCTGTGTCCTTGCAAGTGGTTCTGTGTGTACACTCATTGCACCCAAGCTGCTTTTAGTCTTACTAGTACTTCAAAAATATTTAATTTAAAAACAAACTGAAAAAAAAAAAAGTTGAAGTGCTCCAAGGTGTGCCTCTGCCCATACCTCCCCGCACGGTTAATTCTGATTTGTAGCATGCGCCGTTAAATAAAAGCCACCTGAGTAAACATGTTTTAAGGACTGGCATACAACCGTTTTAAGCTAAAAAAAATAAAAAATAAAAATAAAAAAACACTCTGAATGCAGAAGACTTACTAGAAGGGATCGCAGCAAGGCGCTAGGAGACAGAGCCCCAAGAGCACCAGCCACCCTGACTGCCAGCAAGGGCGGCCGGGCCGGGCCACCTCGCACGGCCCGTTACACGTGCGCGCCCG